GGACGCTGCCCGCCACCGCCTGCTGGTCGCTGTGCGGGATGGTGGGCAGCCTCCTCTTTCGGCCACCGCCACGCTGCACCTTGTTTTCGCGGACAGCCTGCAGGAGGTGCTGCCGGACCTCAGGGAAGACCCTGTGTCCTCTGACCCCCAGGCCGAGCTGCAGTTCTACCTGGTGGTGGCTTTGGCCTTGATCTCAGTGCTCTTCCTCCTCGCAGTGATTCTAGTAATTGCTCTGCGCCTGCGACACTCCTCCAGCCCTACTGCTTGGGGCTGCGTTCAGCATGGTCTCTGTTCCAAGCCTGGGCCTGTAGTTCCCAACTACAGCGAAGGGACATTGCCTTATTCTTTCAATCTATGCGTTGAGCATATGGGAAAGACAGAATTTAATTTTAAAAAATGTAGTGATCCATTGGGTTCGGGTCAAGACATCCTTTGCGGTGATTCATCTGGCGCCTTGTTTCCACTTTATAATTCCAGTGAGACAACTTTTCATCCTGAGACTCTGACACCGGTGAGTTCCATTTGCATCTACTCCTTCATCCATCTAATTGTCTATATTTACGTCAAAATACAATACATTATCTGCTCCAGTGAGTTGTGTTTGGAAAGTTATAAACCTTCAGAGAGCTGTATTTCCATTCTTCATGGGGAAGGGTGATTCCTGAGTGAGTATGTGACATTCCAGGGAAATGAAAAGGTTACAGGAGATATGCAGATTTATATAGTACTAAGTGTGTGCTATATTCTATCAGCAAAAGGACTGGACAGTTTTTCTCTTTTTTTTTCAAAGTCAGTGAAACTCTTTAATTGCCTCTTTCATTTTATGTAAGTAACTATTAAGTTTAGAGTAGGTAACCATTTAATTCATCATTTAAAGGAACAAAATATAATTTCATTGGCAGGTTCCTTCCCTTTCTTGTATTTATTCCTTCAGTATAGTCCCTCCGTGATCCTTAGGTCTTTTATTTTTATGTCTGCTATGCCATGATTTTATAGGGAATGGATTCCAGCAGCTCAGCACGCTTTCCCTTTAGTTCTCACAAACTGGTGTACTGGCCAGAACAAGTTTCTGTAGAACCCACGCACGTTTCTCTTTGTATTTCTTCTTCTTCTGATCATTTCCCTTCATACATTTCAAGAAGGTAGCTGGGCTCTTAGAGTATTCAGCACACAACTAATCCTCTTAGCAACAGTCTTGCCCTTAACCTGCCTGTTTGAAACAATGTCCACACCATGCTGGATGATACTGTAGGTTCTTCCAGATTTCTTTTTCAATACTATCCATGCCCTTGATGTCTACAGTATCAGCCTTCCTGTAAATTCACATATATCTCACCAAAGGAACAACTCTATATTTTCTAAAAGGCCTGAAGAACATACATAAGGAGCCTCTCATCTTTCCCTTTGAGTTCATCATTTTGGGGAATTGGTGGAAGATGGCAATTCTGGACAAAAAGGCCTGGTTCTTTATACTTAACTAATGGATTTATGATTTATTGACTCCCTTAAAAAGGTACAAAAATACTATGTAGGCTTATGTGTATAAAAGACACAGACTCGCTGAACTTATTAGATCCAAACATTCTTTCAGAGATTCTTGGATGCAGAATCCTATAGAAAAAGAAATGCTAGGACTGGTCATGCAGCTTTGTGGTAGACCATGTGCTTGGTATGATCAAGGCCCTAGGTTCAATCCCTAAGACAGGGGGAGAAAAGGGGAGGAGGAGGGCAGAGGAGAGAAAAAGGAAATGTCTCTTTTTCTGTGGCTCTGATTCCTGATATATAGTCTTTGAAGAAGGATGGGTGGAAGAGATACTAGATTTCTCTTATCATTTTGAATCCTAAACATAAAAGACTAGGTGTTTTCTCATCATCCTCTTAGGAAGGAAGGAGAATCCTGAATTTTTCTATTTCCTAAAGCAAAGACTATTAAGCTGGTGTTCTTACAAAGTTGCCATTACACGATATAAGTCTTTTGTGTGTTTTCCCTTGGTGGTTGCCTCTCAGCCTTTTGGCTAAGATCAAGTATGGTTTCCATTGGCATGTGATACACTAAATGGCTTCTTTAAAAATTGCTGAAAGTGGTTTTATAAAACCATTTTATTTTTGAGTAGTAATTATTTGTTCTATATTTTGTATTATTTTTTCTTAACTGTTACATAAGTTTAAATGACTCTTAGAAAAAGAAGCATAAGACCACTTTAAAATTGCATGATTTATTTTTACTTTTCTCATATTTGTGAGAAAGTGTGTGTGTGTGTGTGTGTGTGTGTGTGTGTGTGTCCCAGAATTTGATCCCTGGCACGCAAAACTAATAATAATAATTTCTTGATTGAGGATTAAAGTGAAAATTTGATTTTCCTAGTAAGTTCATTTGAATCTTCCAGATGCCACATGCTGTTTACCCATCATATATTTATTCAAACAGAAAACTAACCTTTCTTTGAAATAGCAGAAGTTTAAATAATGACAACAGTGTAAATTTTTAGAACCTTAATCTTGACAATAGAATTTAACAACAGTAGGTAAGAAATTCTATATTGACAAATTACAATTATTTTCATGACCCCATTTTTAAATGAAACCTTCCTTCTGGAATTTTGCCACCCAAATATAATGACTTTGTAAAATAATTTAAAGTGAATAATGCATCATATACATTTATTTGATATATGGTACACATACATAAAAATGTACAGTGCAAAAGGAAAATCTAAAAATATGAATTTTCAAAGAGGATTGCACATCTGAATACTTTTGAAGATTGATAAAGATATATAGAAAAAATAAGCATCATTAAAACATTATAACAAGGGCCAGGGATTTAGTTCAGTGGTTCCACCACCTAACTCAAAAATGTAAGGTCCTGAGTTCGCTATCTGGTACCAAAACAAAAACAAATAAACAAACAAAAACAAAAATTATAACAGCTGGGCATGGTAGCACACACCTGTAATCTCAACACTCAGGAGGCTGAGGCAGGAGGATCATCAAGAGTTTGAGGCCAGCCTGGGCTACAGAGTGAGTTCAAGGCCAGCCTGAACTACATAGTAAAACCCTGTCTCAAAAAAATAAAGAATAAAAATTTATAACATTTTACGTATGTTCATAGGATAAGATTCTACCAAAAACAGGTAGAAATTAAGCAAAACAAGAAAATCTGGTGATTTAATAATTACAGAAATTTCACTCCACTTCATTTACAACTCATATATCTACAAATGGTAAATGCTTTTAAACTGTGAATGCAAAAAACATTTAGACAAATCTAAAATCCTAATTAGAATAGTGTTTTCTTTGTCAACCATCTGTAGTCAAATGTGTATATTTTGCTGGGTGCAATGACTGCTCCTGTAGTGCCAGTTACTGGGAAGGCTTAGGCAGGAACATCGGAAGCTCAAGAGTGGAGACTAGCTGGAGCAACATTGTGAGACCCCATCTCCAAAAGAGAAAGCAAAGTTTAGCATTCCATTTGATGTAGTAACGCTTTAGGACTCTGAGCGTCGCTGTTCACCAACTAAGAAAAAGAGCTCCGGATCTGCGTCTACATAACGCCCCTCATATCCCACAAACTGAATCCGGGGCTGCAACAAGATTCGACTTAACAAGCATTCCGGCTTTCCTCTGAGGAAAAGGATAACCCGATTTTGTAGGAGGAAAAGAAGAATCTAGAGTCTGCGTGCACAAAGAGAGTTCTGAGAAAATTCCGTAGCAAAGCGCAATGGCAGCTCCAACCAAACGCCAGCACTGCAGAAGACTGGCCCTGCTGTGCGCGCTCCTGGGGACGCTGTGGGAGGCCAAGGCCAGTCAGATCAACTACGCGGTGCCGGAAGAGAAAGAGCAGGGATATATCGTGGGCAACATCTCCAAGGAGCTGGGGCTGGAGGCCCAGGAGCTGGCGGAGCGCGGAGTCCGCATCGTCTCCCGAGGTAGGACGCAGCTTTTCTCTCTGAACCCGCGCAGCGGCAGCTTGGTCACCGCGGGCCGGATAGACCGGGAGGAGCTGTGCGCCCAGAGCGCGCGGTGCCTGGTGAACTTTAAAGTCTTGGTTGAAGACAGAGTGAAGCTTTATGGAATAGAAATAGAAGTAACTGATATCAACGACAATGCGCCAAAATTTGAGGCAGAAAATCTGGAAGTAAAAATTAATGAAATTGCTTCTCCTGGAGCACGCTATCCACTCCCAGAAGCGGTTGACCCGGATGTGGGCGTGAACTCCTTACAGAGCTACCAGCTCAGCCCCAGTCACCACTTCTCTCTGGACTTGCAAACCGCAGACGATGGAACCATCAGCCCAGAGCTGGTGCTGGAGCGCGCCCTGGACCGAGAGGAAGAAGCCATTCATCATCTGGTCCTCACCGCCTCAGATGGCGGCGACCCGCGCCGCTCCAGCACGGTGCACATCCAGGTGACTGTGCTGGATACAAACGACAACGCCCCGGTCTTTGCTCAACCGACTTACCGAGTGAAAGTCCTTGAGAACGTGCCCCCGGGCACCCTGCTGCTCACAGTAAGAGCTAGCGATCCGGATGAGGGAACCAACGCAAAAGTGACATACAAATTGCGGAAAATCAATGAGAAACAATCTTCCTTATTCCAGCTTGATGAAAACAGTGGGGAAATAACAGTGGCGAGAAGTCTAGATTATGAAGAATGCTCGTTCTATGAAATGGAAATACAAGCTGAAGATGGTGGGGGACTGAAAGGGCGAACAAAGGTACTAATTATGGTAGAAGACGTAAATGACAACAGGCCCGAAGTGACCATTACATCTCTGTTTAGCCCAGTGAGGGAAGATGCTCCACAAGGAACAGTAATTGTTC